CAACAGAAACAAATATACTAAAAAGGCCGCGTAAGCAAAACTTTCAGAAAGCTGCACAAGCGACGCTACAGAAGATTATTTTATTAAAATTAGCTTCATTTCCCCAAACGATTAATCTTGGAATACCCAAAATGGATGAAGTTAAAGTGGATGTAAGTGGAGAAATGAATGTACCCAAAGAGCAACAAAAGTCTCAATTTGATTTCAAAAGGTTCATACATAAATTAATTACAAATATATAGATTAAGTGGTTTTAATTAAAAAACAACTGATTTTGATTGTGTTAATCATAACCGTAGTTTTTGGACACTGCAAAAAATACCGAGCCCACTGGAAATTGTACAACTAACGCGCAAATACATTCGGCCATGGTCGGAGTTTATGAACACTGCTAACTTTAAGGCTGCAGCGAGTATGCCACGTTTGACGAGTCGATTTATCCGGAACATCACATACTTTCAAAGCAATTACATCTTTATTTTTGTTATACTGATGATATACTGTCTGTAAGAGCTTAGAAATCTGAAACTTTAGGATAAAATCAAAAGTTCACCTTTTTCCTTTGAAGCATTACCTCACCTTTAATCTTACTGGTTTTGGCTGCTGTGGGCTACGTTAGTCATAGAATTAAGAAGACACAAGCTCCCGTCAGTATTTTTGGACACCAATTATCAACCAATCACCAAATAATGGTTGTGAATATAGCCTCTGCTCCTATATTATTTATAGCAGGTGCAGGCGCGGCACTATTCTGGACACTGGGTTCGTACTCCAGCTTATATTGTCACTCATTTGCACTCACGCATTTTCAATGTAAATATGTTGATTTATATTTTTGTAGGGGCTTCTTGCTTTGTCATCTCTTTGCATGCCATATTCTACAATATCGATGCAATTGTAACTGAAGAGAACGAGGGATTCCTAGCAGAAGTCGTGTAAACAAACCCCGAACATGTAAACACTTAATATACATACTATAAAAAAAATTCAGCCACATGTTTAAAAATATTCATTTACCAAAATTTAATTATTAATAAATGTACATACATACATTTATCTTAATATAAAAACAGATCCGGGGCCTTAACTCCTGAATGATATTTTATAATCATTTAAAATAAACATGAGACTATGTGCACATACATACATATCTAATGCTAAAAACTCTACATGCCAGACTTATACATTCAGGTTCTGCAATTAACAAACCAGTACAGGCGGCTCTGCAAATTATATAGTGCTGAAATTCGGGAGTAAATTGCAGAACCTGCTTGGCAGTTAATTTGTATATAAAAATATTCGCCCTCATTGCGAGGGTTGTGTCGAATGCAAATCGTTTTTCGAGAGTCGAATCGTATCGAAAATTTCACGTCATTGCCTAAAATTTCCACTCGGCTAGTGTATTAAAATATTGCCGAATCGTACAATTTAGCCTAATTTACGACTACGGAGTGAGGCTGAATATGTACATGCGAATATACAGCCTAAAAACAAAAATTAAACCTGAACTGTAGAACCTTGCAGCATGAGAGCCTGGGAAATTGTCTAATAAAACGAAAGCATAAATTCAAGGCCCTACATAGTATTTGGCATACATCACCCAACTGTTCAGCTATGAAAAAATTACAGAAGATATAAGAGGTTAAAATAAAATGTTTAGATATTTTAAAATATTAATATTTTCTAAACTACATAACCGATTAAAAAAATAATTATGTCAAAATAAAGACAATTAATTTATCTTTTAGTATAAATATTGTACATGCTTGTTTATTATTGTAAGCCAAAAATATTAAAAAACAAAAAGTTTCATAATTGTTTCATAAAATAACCTATTTTGTAAAAAAGTGCATAAGCAAAGCTAAAGAAATTTATATTCGGCCCTATCGCGAATTTCACGTGAACAAATATTCACAAAAATTATAAAGCAAAACAAAAATAATTTTTCCCAATTTGTTTTTGTTTTTCCATACAAAATACATTGGGCGTCAAGAGAAAAGCGTGAATAACTTTCGTCTCGAAGCATTGCCACAAAATTTTTTTGCAAATAATTACTAATAGCACGTACAACAATATTAGCCCAAAACGCGATTTTAAAGCCATTGAGATGTCAGTGATATTTTAAAAAAATTTTAATAACTTAAAAAAATGTATGGCCAAATAAAAAATAAAAGTGGGGGAAAAACACCATCATTCTCTGTCTAAAATATGAGCCGAATCGGTATTACCAATCGCGAGAAAACAATTAAAATCTACACAATTTCGAAAAATGTTAATACCTATCTAAAGCTTCCAAAATAATTCGATTTTCGAAAAATTGTGAAACTTGTATTTTTCTTTTATCGTTGTGAAGCATAAACAGATAATTGCACAAAAAGCTCGATCTATCTATATAGTAAATTAAGTAAATTGGACTATAGTTGGAAGTTATCAGTGCTGATTCAATGCAATACTTTTATTTTTTATAGCTAAATTAAAAACATACGTATAGTTCACGAACAACTTATTAATCGGACACAGTTTAAAACCATGTCATGTAGTTTTATTTTCAGTTTGCAAGATTTAAAAAATATACTTATGTATGTATTTATAGGTTTGGTTTTTTCTCTCGGTCGCTTGAGAAGTTTCGGAATGAAAGTAACCTTAGTTTTTTATTTAATGTTGTGGATTTAGGATGATGTTGCACTGATGTTTGAAGTTGATGGTGACTTCGTTATTCGTTGTGCATGTATACCTCGCAATACTCGATTTCCGCACAAGAAAGTGAATATTGCTATTGGAATGAGCAAACGCAGTGTTTGGAACATGTTTAAGTTGAACCAAAAAAACTACAAATAACGCCAAAATGCCACCAAAACCCGCATGAAAACCAATTGTACAGGGTGCGAACGAAAAGTTGGAGACGTTTATTCCCAGCTTGACCCAGAAAATGAATAGCAACACCAAGGGTGTTAAGCATAAACCGGTGAATACATCTGAAACAAAACGAGGCGGACGTTTTTCGGGAGGACGGAACAAATGTTCTATTTCCGGCAACATGCTACGAATTGCTTGCTTCTTCCTTGTCTCTAAATAAAGATTTAACGATATACTTAGGTAATAAGATATACATATAATACTTACCGTATTCATGGGAAAATTTTAGCTGAACGTTCGCTACGTGCCACTGGAAGGAATTTGAGATTGAAGCATCGCCAATAATCAAGTAAAGTTCATATTCCCCCGATTTGTAATCGAAATCTGCACCATGTGAACCCACATCCATGTCGAACTTGTAAGCTTTGTTACTATCTTGTTCTGCAACGAATATAATTTCCTCTTTGGTATCTGTATTGGTAAGCCGCACAAATGCCTGATGAACTGATATTACCTGCGAAATATAAAAATTTATGCCGGTGTAATCGGTGAATAATTTTTAAGGAACCTTTGTTGTGCCTTCATCTATAAGTACAGATTTTAGCAGCAGTTTTTGGGTTGTATCAGCCTTTAATGTATGTGGCAAAGTTTGCGGATAGGTGACACTTTGCTTTTTTACTGCTGAGCTCGCGTCTGATTCTGCAACACCAACTTCCAGAGAATGCACTTTTATTCGTCCAAGTACCTTGAATTGCAATGTCTGAGTGTATATGTTGTCCGCGTTGATTTCTGCTAAGTATATGCCACGAGTGGGTTTATAGTTCGATAGCTGCGCTGCATAAACAGTTTTGTCGGATGACTTCGGCACGAACTGAACTTTTTCGGCAAGTACGGTATTATCTTTTTTCAACAATATTTTCCCATAAATATTTTGGGGTGCTGGAGTTAAAGATTTGCCCAACAAATCAACAACCTTTACGTTCAGTACATGATTGTCAGACTGTAATTGACCATTTCCTATCAATTGAATACAGATCGGTGCAATTTTTTCCGCTGTTCCCAAAGTTTTCAATGCTTCAATAAGCAAATGTGCACCCTTAGCCGATTGCACGGATCTACGATTAAGAAAGTATGTAGCAAACTTCACAGCTTGTTCCGCGTTTAAGGGTGCTGCTTTCTTAAAAGTATCTGTTACTCGAAATATTCCATTTACGACCAAGGCAGTTATGCTAAGGCCGCCTTCAAATTGTAGCATTTTTCCATCTACTTCGTCGGCTTGAACGACGGCATCTTCGACTCGATCGGCCACAAACGCTGCACTAGGACCCAACTCACTTGCGACGTTGAAAGCATAACCGAAACTAACGATTGAATCATCTTTCTTTAGTAAATCCTGCAGAGATTTTACAAGTTTCGCTGTATTTTGTTCATCAATTTGCACACCCAGAAGTTTGAAGCTCATTACACGAAAATAAATTTCCTGAGTTGAACTAAGTTCGGATTTAAAAGAATTGTACACTTTCGATAATAGTTCTTCCGGCAATTTATCTTTGCATTGTATATTTTTGCTGGCCCCAACGAGGTAAAAATCTTTCTCATAAGCCTACAAAAATACATGTGTAGATATAATTAGTCAGAAGCTTAGATATATATCTAAATTCTAAAAGCCTGTCTCACATTTAATTTTGAATCCTTATGAAGTGTGCGTAGTTTTGAGCACAAATCCGTCGTTTCCTTTGGATCAGTTAATTTTATATTTAGCGTCGAGTAGTAAATAGCTTGCAGGTCATTCGACATTATTGCATCGTCAAAAACACGCTGCAGACGATTGAGATCATTTTGACCGAGGTGGCTAGGCACGGTACGTGCGGCCATCGTTGTCGAGCCCCATATTAACGCAAAGGTAGCGTATATTAGTACTAAACACATGAAATAATTTACATAATTTAATAATATGATCATTTAATAACCCATTCCCATTTCCCATCCAGTTTACTCCCGGTAGAAAATCACACCGCAGGGATACGCCTGCTTGTTCTCCACCGGCATTTTAGCGCACAAAACTTGGCAAACTGAATATTTATTTCAAAAGAGTAAAACCTAAATATCTTACCTAATTTGTACATAATTATCCAAAACTTCTTTAAAAATCCTAGTTTAGTTATTAATTTTTATAGTAATAAACCACCCGTCCAACGAAAAAACTGCAACTTCTGGCGGTATTCAACGAATAGATTTGACAGACACGTCAACGAACCTTTATGCCAACGAGTGCATTACAACGAAGCAATGTTGCTGACGCTTAACAAACTTCCCTCTGACCTAAAAGAAGATTTCCTTATAGTACATTCAATGTTTACCGCAAACTTGACGTTCCACAAACCTTTGTCAGTTGAAGTAACGTATAAACAAGAATAATTAAAAGTGCCCTGAGTGAAAATATTCTATCATTCTTGATTTTTAATATAGTTTTATGGTTATATTACTGTGTTTTATTGGCAAACAGGCCCTTTATTTGCTGTTCTATTGGTTTATTGCCGTTCATCTTTATCATGATTCAATAATTAAAGGTTTGCTCATTATTGACATTAGAGTTTTGACACTCCCTTAGCTCCCTTACAAAAGCTTTGCACACACACACGAACCCACACATAATGCTTTGCTAAGGGAGCCGATTTTGTCAAGAGGGAGCGAGAAAACTGCTTTTTGAGCAAACCTTTTATTATTGAATCAAGGAATAATACAAGGTTCGATAAATTGACAGCTGTCTCTCTCGCACAGCTCCCTTAACCGTGTTGCTTCTTTAAAAATTTACTTGGAAAAAGTGTAGCTTTGGTGTGGAACAGAAGTACAACCTTTTGTGAAATATGTTTATTTGTATATGCATATGAAGCACATTTAACTGATGAAAACATAAATTGCTTTTAAATTGGATGTTTAAATAAATCTGATAGTAGTTTTATTTTAATTTTGAGCCCTTTTGCAGTTTTTATACAGCTAAGTAGCACATAAATTATGTAATTCACGTAGATATATTAATATTTCGTTCAATATTTCGTTTAAAATTCCAGATTTCCTGCAAATACATTAGAATTTACGAAAGGAATTTCAATACTAATTGCCTACTTTGGGTACTTTTCTACTACCATTTTCGCAACAAGGGATTGCATTCTTCCCCTTTCTCTGTCCTTGTCCTTAATTATCTAACCTTGTATTATTGAATCATGCCCTGCCCCTTGCCAACAAAAATAATCAAACCAAAGCCAAACCAAGTGGTTACGTAATACTTGAATAGTATGCATACATACATGTACATATATATTTACAAATATTATATATGTAAAGTATATAATTATACATATGTGATAGGGAAATTTAAAAGGGCCGAAAATCGAAAATTTTCTATTTTAGAAATTTTTTGTAGTAAATGGCATGCTCTTTTCACTGAAACAAACGGATGTTTTCTACTTTCATTCACAAATTCATTTCAAATATGGACACATTCCCAAAAAAACGTACAAAAAAACTCGGTTGTTGACTTCAGTCGTTTTTCTCGAACCGTAGGTCGCTTTCAACCACGGAAAATTCATGTAAGGTGGTAATACTAGAGCAGCTGATTTCAAGGCGAATTGTGCTTATTGTCAAAGTTTGTTGTACATTTTTTTGGTTCAACGTATCCTGTCACATATGTACAGTGCTTATCCAAATTGCTCCCTTTGTTCTTGCACTGGGCGTGTTATAGTATAACGCTTCTTGAAATCTCTAGTTATATCGCCATTATTATTCCACAATGTTATGGCAGTAGTACTATACAATGGATAAATATTAATCAAACGTTCCTTTTTATCCATGTCCTCCTTCGGAATCTTTTTGCAATACTCATCGAAGTATTCAGTGTTTGTTTTATAAGATTTTACACTCTCCAAGCGATCATTGAAACGTATATATTCATCGTAGAGCTCCTGCCAAAGAAATTGTTCATAGCAGCGCGCCCGTGTGGCTGGAAGTAAAACGAATAGAAGAGTATTGGCCATAGGTTTGCAGGACCTTAGTAATTAACCTACTCGTCGGCTTTTTTAGTTTAGGAGCTTTAAATTTATCTTTCATTTCACTGTACTGATCCTTCGAACACATTTTAGCAGCAGATTAATAGGTGTAGGTGAGAAATTTATAATAACATTCATTGAGAATAAACAAATAGCATAGAAACGAATAGTTATAGGCATCCATTGAAAAAACTTGGGTTGCTATGAATGCCAGGAATATGCACAAGGTGGAACAAATGAAAAATACGAACAATTCTTAGAGGAAAAAAATACATACAGTGCCGGACAAAAGTATTGGCACAGAGAATTTTTCGCAATATATGCAAAGTTTTTTATTCTAATTTATTTTAAATATTTTTTAATAAAAATATAGTTCGTACTTCACCAAAAAACATAAAAACAAAATCTCTAAACTTTGTGCAAAACTCAGGAAAATTCAATAAATTTGCATACTAATTTGCAACTTCTTATTCAAATTTTTTAGAGAAATTCTAAGTATGTAGTTTTATAGCCCAACTAATTTTAGTAGAAGGTGTTGCTCATTTTCTCCATACAAAAAATAATTGTCGAACATACTTTGTACGGAAGAACTAAAATTAGTTGGGCTATAAAACTGCATACTTAGAATTTTTCTAAAAAATCTGAATAGAAAGTTGCAAATAAGTATGCAAATTTATTGAATTTTCCTGAGTTTTGCACAAAATTTAGAGATTTAGTTTTTATGTTTTTTGGTGTAGGACGAACTATATATTTATAAAAAATTATCCAAAATAAATTAGAATAAAAAACTGTTCAGATATTGCGAAAAATTCTCTGTGCCAATACTTTTGTCCGGCACTGTATGTATGTGTCTAAATATATACATAAGTATCTCTAGAGCAGTGTGCAAACGCCTTTTTATTTTAGTGTGGTAGAATCAGCAAAAATATGTGGTAGATTTGAATAAGATGTGGTAGATTTTCCAATTCATACTTTTATTTGGTATATGTACATACATATCGCACACCGTTGTTAAAAGGGACACTACTCAATTGGGCTATTTTTATAGGAAAAAATTACATCGACGTCGACGTCGACAACCATAATAGGGCCGATGGTTGCATTTGTTATCTACAAATATATCAAGAGAAAATTCCTCAAAATAAAAATCCTCAAAAAATACTCAAGCGCACGCGAAATTCCTCACGTTTTGAGGAATTACTCACAAAATGGCAACACTGGTACCCATAATCGATGATAGTGTGGCGAATACTGCGGCAACACAAAGCGAACAACGAGAAATAGGCAGAATGTTCGAGGAATGACGTAGAATGTTCCACAAAGAGAAACGTCAAGTTGGATGAACACTGCGAACAGCGAGAAAAAGAGAATGAGCGATAAACTTCAGAACGTTCTAGAGTTGCCATAAGTGTGAGCGCAGGTATATAAGAGCCACGACACAGCGGAGGTGAGTTAGTTACGGAGTTACAAGTCAGCAAGCTACAAGTAAAGTTAGCGGAGAATTGAGTTGCGAATAAGCGAGCTATAAGTTTAATTGTGTTAACAAGTAGTAAAGCGTTGTTATTGC